CAGAGCCCATTTCAATCCAATTATTTATTGAACACAGACATAAACTTCTTTTATCTGCCTCTTCTTCATCCAACTGGTAGAGGGATTTCTACCTAATGGTTATGGGGATGTAAAACATGCAACACCTGAAACTGGACAGACGAGAATGACAATTTGTTAGTTACATACTCACAGCCTAAGGGCCAAAGACTAGGTTACACAGGGGTTACACCTGGACACTGAATGAACAAATAGGAACTGGAAGAAGCACAACTAAAATATAGTAGCTAAGTGTCTTTTTTATTTGAATAATGTCATGGGCTAGGAGAGGAATTAAGCACATTATGATGATTACCAGGTGATATACAACTCCTACAATTGATAAGTGAGCCTTTCCAACTGGTTGGAAGTCATACGTGAGAGCAGGAATTTTGTGATTAAGCCTTTTGAGGCCTAGCTTAACATGTCAAGACAGCATATAATAATGAATCGTAATTTAAGGCCTTCTATCATAGTACTATCAGGAGCTCAGGGTCTTATTGGTAGGAATGAAATGGAGCATCTGAGTACAACAATAGAACAATGCATAATGTAACAAGGTAGAATAGGGAAGAAATAATGGGAGAAAGATATAAAGGAAGAGCACAGGGCCAATTTACTTTTCCCCAATCCCCATTTGCAAAATGGAAGATTTACTCCATACATGAAAAGGACTGGGACCCAAAAAAAAGCATGAAGTACATTTGCAAATATTCAAAAACAGATAATTTTTGGTAACATCCATCGTATAAAAAATAACTAAAGAAGCTAGGCACTGGTGGCTCACACCTGTAATCCTAGCTACTTAAGAGGCCGAGATCTGAGGAGGGCAGTTCAAAGCCAGCTCAAGAGTCCATGAGACTCTTGCCTCCAATAAACCACGAGAAAACTGGAATTGCACTGTGGCTCAAGTGGTAGAGCACTAGCCTTGAGCTGAAGGGCTCAGGAACAGTGCCCAGGCCCAGAGTTCAAGCCCCACAACTGACAAAATAAAATAACTAAAGAGAGCCATGTGCCAGTAGCTCACACCTGTAATCCTAGCTACTCAGTAAGTTAAGAACTGAGGATCTAAGGATCCTGGTTCAAAGGCAGCCCAAGCAGGAAAGTCTGTGAGACTCTTATCTCCAATTAATGAGCACAAAGCCAAAGTAAAGCAGTGGCTCAAGTAGTGAGGCTCAAATAGTGAAAGCAACAGCGATAAGCAAAAAAGCAAAAAACTCAGGGATAGCCCCAGGGCCCTGAGTTTAAGCCCCAGGACCAGCACAAAAAAATAAAAATAAAAAATAAACAAAGCTAGGCAAAATGAAAGTAAGTATGAGACAAAGCAAAGTGCTAGTAAAGGCAATAATGTGACTAAGCACAAAGACATCAAGTTTACACATCTCCCTTCCTGTATTACAAATGATTTAAAAAAATTTTAAATACATAAGGTAATAATATATGCAATTGTATCTGGGAGCTATAACAAAAACATAATACACTTCACAATAGCAAAATGATGTGAGGTGCAAAGCTGGAGTAGAATACAGAAGTTACATTAGACAGAAGTCTACATAAATAAATTAAAGCGTTAAGAAATAGGTAATATAGCCAGGTGTGATGGCTCATGCCTGTAATCCTATCTACACAGTCTTGAGATCTTAGGATCACAGTTTGAATCCAGATTGGGCTTAGGAAACTCCATGAGACTCTATCTCCAATAAACTACTAAGAAAAAGACAGAAGTAGTGCTGTGGCTCAAGTGGTAAAGCACTAGCCTTTAATAAAAAAAGCCAGGCCCAGAGTTCAAGCTCCAGGTCCAGGAAAGGAAGACAAGAAACAAAGAAAAGAAAAGGAAAAGGAAGGAGGAGGGAATATAAATACCTACTCTTTTTCTCTAAGCTTCTTTAAGATACATTAAATGATGTAATTACAATAATAAAGCAATCTATTGGGGGATTTGTAACACATTATTTATAATATGTGTAACAGAAATAACACCAAAAGAAAGTAAAAAGAAGAAAGAAGGGAGTAACATAGAACTAAAGCTTATTACACTAGACTTACTTTACTATAAATCACGAGTATATTCTGATCAATTGATACTATTAGCTTTAGAGTCAAGAATAAGAATTTAACTCTTAAAAATTTCTCTGGAACTTGTTGTTACTATAAAATATTCACTTAGTGAATAAAAAGTGGTAAAGGAACAAAAGAATAAAAACAGGAGTATTCCAAAAAAAGTAAATGAGAAAACTTAAGTTCTATCAATCATGACATTAAATATAGCTAAATATCACATCAAAAGTCAGACTGCCAGACTGAATTCAAAATTGAAAAACTCAATATACAACTATGCTACTTAACAGAAGATACATTTTAGATTAAAAAATTTAAATATAGATTCAGCGATGAAAAATAATAAAAGTTATAAATATCAAACATAAGAGCTAAAAAAATGTCTACAACAAACATCAATACAGACATTAAACAAGAAATGTTGCTAGAAATAAACATATAAGTCTAACAATAGATTGATTCATCAAGAACAGGAATAACAACATATATGAACTTCATATCACAATCTCAAAATACAAAAAGCAAATCAAAGAGAAAAAAGTGAGAAATAGATTAACAGTTGAAGATTTTTATTACCCTCTTTTGAAAATGAAGAAAACAATGAGGTATACCAACAAGGATACAGAAGACTTGAATATATAAACCCACTAGAACTAAGAGACATCCATAGAATATTCTTCTCAAGCATAAACTGTACATTCTAAGGATAAACTATGTGTTTAAGCCACAAAACAAGTCTCAATAACTTCAAAGGGCAGAATAATCACACTAAGTATATTTTCTAACAAAACATGAATTAAGCCAGACATTGGTGGCTCATGCCTATAATCCTAGCTATTCAGGAGGCTGAGATCTGAGGATTTCAGTTCAAGGCCAGTCCAGATAGAAAAGCACCTGAGCCTCCTAACTCCAATTAACTTTAAAAAATAAAAATAAGTAAAAAGCTATCAGTGAAACTGTGGCTCTAAGTGGTAGAGTACCAGCCATGAGCAAAAGAAGTTCAGGGACAGAGCCCAGCCCCTGAGAGTTCAAGTCCCAGAATCCACACATAAAAAAGAAAAAAAGAACTGAACTGAGTGAAATCAATAACAGTAGGAAATACATAGATATATGGAATTAAACAATACATTCCTAAACCTAACAAAAAGAACAATGAACAAAACTCACAATGGAAACTGCTTTTAGATTGATTAAAACCAAACACAAGAGATTTATATTGTTTAGTTAAGAGTCTTGGAAAATTATAATGCTATAAATAACTATATAGGGATATTAAGTCACTATCCTAACCATAATTAAGAAAAAAGAAAACACACAAATGAAATATAAAACAAGTAGAAAGACTAAAAAAAATTTAATAAAAAAAGACAAGAGAATTCAAAGTTTATTTAAGAAGATCAGCAAAACTGACATTTAAATACTCAAGAAAAATGGAGGAAAAATTGAAGATTACTTCAGGAATGAAGGGGGCATTATTACCAACCTAACTGAAATAAAAAGGATTGTATGAGAATATCTTACACAGTTCAAAAAGAACTAAAGCAAAGGTGGTAGACCAGCTGCCTGTAGACTATCCCCAGGACCACAAAACAAAACAGTACTATTAGAAAGGAGGAAGAATTGGAGAGGAGAGGGATGGAGAAAGAAAAGGAGGAAAGGAAGGAGAAGATATAGGAAAGGAGGGAAATGACAAGTTGGGGGTGTGAAAAGAGTGATTTGGTAGAATTTATGCTGAACTGAACATGAGATGCAGTAAACCAAGGAAAAGGGTTAGCTGGTAATTCTGAGATTGAAAGCAATGATTTTATAATGCTGTCAGCTTTAAAAAGCTTAGTGGTAGTAGCTGGGCACTGGTGGCTCACACCTGTAATTCTAGCTACTCAAGGGCTGAGATACAAGGATCAAGATTAGAAACCAGCCCAAGCAGACAAATCCACGAAACTTTTTAATCTCTATTTAACAAGCAAAAGCCAGAAGTAGAATATGGTCTAAATGGTAGAGAACCAGCTTTGAGCAAAAAAGCCAAGGGAGAGGACAAGTGCTAAGTTCAAGCCCCAGTACCAGTATAAAAAATAATAATCCTTAAACTAGCTGGACATGATGACATATATATAATCCCAGCACAAAGAAGGCAGAGTCATTAAGATTGTTGAGTTCAATGCTTAGTTACACAGGAAGTGGAGAGCAGTCTAGAATACATAGAAGACCCTCAATGGAACCTCACCCCCACCACCCCATTATAAAAAGAAGAAAAAAAAAAGGAGGAGGCAGTAGCTAGTGCTTTGGCTCAGTCATTCCCCCAGAGGCCTCAGAACAAGGAAAGCCAGTAGTGTAACTTTCAGTCTGATAAAAAAAAAAAAAAAGGCTGAGAACCTTAGGAATCCACTGGTGAAAGGCCAGCACTGATGGAAGGCCAGAGAATCAGGAGGTGCAATGTTCAACATCAAAAGAATGATCTTCCAGCTATAGAGCAAACAAATTTGCCTTAATCTACCTTTTCTTCAATCCAAAACTCTGCCAAACTGAGTTGGCTGGTGGCTCACGCCTGTAATCCTAGCTACTCAAAGAGACTGAGATTTGAGGATCACAGTTCAAAGCCAGCCTAGGTAGAATAGTCCATTAGACTTTTATCTCCAATTAACTACCAGAAAACTGGAAGTAGAGCTGTGGCTCTAAGTGGTAGAGGCTAGCCTTGAGTAAAAGAGCTCAGGGACAGCACCCAGGCCCTGAGTTCAAGGCATACAACTGACAAAAAAACTCAGCCATCTGGATGGACTCAGTCAATTTAGTCTAACTTCTTCCCCACAAAGCCTCACAGCTGTATATCAAGATATTTCTTAATCTAGACAGGTTGCTAAGAAGGTAAAGCAAATATTTTTCATGAGCCATAATGAAGATATTTAATATCTCCTTTTCCTACATACCTACAATCTTTGTTACAGTGTCAGGCGATACCCTCAACATTCTCAGATTTGAAGAATGATGTTCCGAGTCTCTAGTTGGCTCATATGGAGCAAATGAAGGCAATGAAGATGAAAAGGACTGATTAATGCACAAATTAGAATGACTTACCTATTAAAAAAGGAATAAATATAAGATTAATTTCAGATTTCATTGGATAAAAAACTTCAGTTTTAAAAATAAACATTGAGCAGTTTTAAAATGTACTTAAGATTATAGTTATAACCCTCCTGAATTCATACACAGTTCATATCTTGTTTAGTAAATTCTGAGAAGACTCTACAACAAAGATGTATCCAATCTAAAATGGTAGCAATACTGAGAAGACTTCTTGACACAAAGTACACTCTTTTTATTATATTTAAGTAATTGTACAAGGGGGTTGCCATTTAACAAAGCAGTTTATGAATTTATCTTGATCAATGACATGGCTTTCAAAATTCTCACCCATCCCTCCCCGACCTTCCCTCACTCTTGTTAATTTTGTAGGATATACATTAAATTCTTGACTGTATTTCCCCCCCTTCTCCTCTTCATTTCTCTATCCCTTTCCCCTTGACCCCACCCCATCCCTTTCAAGTACCCATTTTCTGGTGTTGATTTCATTGAACTTTGAGTTGGCCTTTCCAAGGAATTACACTATTGGAGTTCTCCTTTGAATCTACTGTATTTTAGCTAATACTTACATACCACCCAACATATTTACTTATAAGTTTATAAGCTAAATCTAGTTTCCACATATAAGGGAAAACACGTATCCCCTTTGTTTCTCTGGGCCTGATTTACTTTACTGAACATAATTATTTTCCCACATACAAAGTACAAACAAGTTTTAATTCATCCCACTCGAGTCTTTTTTTAGTATAGCTCATTTATATACGTATGTATATATATATATATATATATGTATGTATTAATCATGATACATAGATATTTGTAAGAGAACACGTGTTTCTCCTTGTAGCATCCAAAATTAACAAGAAACCTTAGCTTAGGAACAGTGCACAGGATCCTGAACTGCTCCAAAAGATGGCCTTTTCCAAGACACCACAGAACACTCTGTTGTTTTTGTAGTTGTTGTTGTTTGGTGGTAGTCCAGGGCTTGAACTCAGAGTGAGGTTCTGTCTCAGAGGTTCTTAGCTCAAGGGTAAGGCTCTGTTATTTGAGCCACAGCTTCATTTCCAGCTTTTTGTTGGTTAACTGGTGGTAAGAATCTCACAGACTTTCCTGCCTGGGCTGGCTTCAAACCTTGATCCTCAAATCTCAACCTCCTGAGTAACTAGTATTGTAGGCATGAGTCACAAGCACCTAGCTTGAACTCACTAACTCTTATAGTCTGAAACAAACGTTTCTTTTACATATTCCTAGATGTCAGAGAAGACCAAAGTATAAATCACAAGTAGGTATTAGAAGATATAAGTGGCTGCTTTACTTTCATTATCACTTTTCAACTAAAATATTTCTTATCCTACCAATGAGAAATGTCAAGTAGAAAAACTTACAGGTTTGTTCTCCTTAGATGATGATTGTAAAGTAGGCTGCCAATTCAAGGAGCTCTCACAAAGATCATCAAGCAAGTTCTCTAAAGTTGCTAGCTCAACATACTCACTAGTAGCTAAATTATATTGATCACATGTCTAGGAAATAGTAAAAAAGTAAAATAACATTTCTAAAACAATACTAGAAAAGAATATATTTCTACAATTATTTTATTGTGTCTTACTTTTCCTTGTAGTTCATCAACTTTTTCACAGCACACAACAGCATGTTCATCAAGGCTACGACATTTACTGTCACCATCCAGAGTAATCACATCAGACTTAGCCTTCCCATGCAGGTCCTCTACAAAACAGGAATAATTCTGCATAATTGCATGTATAGTAAAACATATTGTATGTATAGTAAAAACTGTTCCTATGGGCCAAGGAATTTCACGCTGGCCTATATCAGCTTTCAGCAATGTCTCTTGGCCAACTACAATTTATGATTTAATGATGCATTACCAGTCAGTGATAAAGTACCTTGTGACTTTGCATCATATGCCACCAAGTTTGCTGAAAAGCTGTTTTCTGCAGCTGCAGATACCTTCAATGGCATTACTACAATTTACATCCTTACCCAAATTATGAGGAATCTGCAACTTCTTCAAAGGTCTGCTGCTTTAAATCTTGTTTCATTGGACAAATAATGTTTGAAGATCCTACCTTCTTTGCAAGATCAAGACCAGAAATGGACTTTATCTTCCCAAAGGGAAGAAATGATTCATTGTATTTATCACACTGAAATAATGCTGACTGTGTTTTCCCTTGACCAATAGCCTGGTTGTAAGATTTTTCACTTAAAGAATCAGATGGTTTAAGCTCTGAAATAACAAAAAGTGGCTTAATGAACATGTTCTGAGGAGCATTAGGAGGTGATTTTATATTTGGATACCAATGTAGGGAGATAGCATCATATTCTTTAGGCAACAATGATTCCGAATCTGCCGGTTCAAACACCCCAAGAGCAGACTGATAGTTTGGATGTTTAAACTTATCAAAGAAAGAATTTTCATCAGGATAGTTTAATTGGGAAAGATCTGGATTTGGGGGTTGTCTCTCTTGGCTGTCATCTGTTAAAGATAATCTTTTTATTGATGTCAGTTTGGATTTCACTTACAGTACTACTCTCTGTCTTTGTAGACTCAATAGAGGCAATAACTGCCTCAAAAGCTACATTTTCAGTAGCATCAATATTATTCTCACCAAAAATAGAAGTTGCCTTTTGGTTTCTTTCCTCTTCAAAATACAGTGGCTCTGATGTCTCGTCCAGCTGGACTTCAACTGTCTGAAGAGGACCACTAGAAGCTTCTGTCTTAGAGATATCATGTCCCCTGGAGAGTATATGAGCTTCTGAAACCCGTACAGAATTATCCACAACTACAACATTCTCAGCATAATTCATCTCTGGAGATGTGGGATGTACCTCTGAAGATGCCAAATTACTTCTACTCTCATTTTGTTCAAAATATCGGGACAACTCTTTCTGCAGATCTTCTTCATTTCCTTCATATCCCTCCAAAAAATCCATCTTTTGTTTCACCTCATTCTCAGCTGGAACTCTTAAATCAACATTCTCAAAATAATGATTTTCAGGGTCCAAAGGGGCCCCCTTTTTTCCTCGTCTTTCCAATAAACATCGCAGAAAAGAATATGACCTTTTACTATGAGGAGGAGTAGCAACTTCTTGTGGAAAACAAATGTTGTCTGTACTGTTTAGACACGTTTCTGCTTGCTGTAAAGCTTCCTCTTTCCAACACTGCACATGTTCAGAAGAAGCATCAAAACTGTCATTTGACTTAGTAGCTATGTTGTCATCACTAATGGCAGATAAAGTTGAAACTGAAATTTGATCTTTATCAGCTAAATTGTTTTCTGACTGCTTTGTATCTTTTCCTGGCTTCCATGACATATATGAACAAAGAACATTGTAACTGTCAAAGTCTTTGGGGGTTTTTAGGTCATTAACAACATATTCTTCACTCTTTTGTTCAGGAGATAAACAAGAGTGCTGAGACCCAACATTTGTGCTACTTATAAGAGGATACTGAGATACACTAAAGCAACTGTTAACCAAATCTGAAGATGCTTCTGAAGTAGCCTGGAGCAAAGCTTCACTAACTTCTGATGGTCGAGAAAACCATTCAATATCTTCAGATTTATCAGGAATGCCTCTGAAAATATACAGTTGAAAATAAATAACATATTAACAGAACTTTTAAGTACTACTACAAAAATATAAACCTGATGTCACTGAAACCGTTTATTTGAAAGCATGTTAAAAATAATAATAAACATTTGACCAGGTGCTATTGGCTCATGCCTGTAATCCCAGCTGCTCTGAGGCTGAGATCTGAGGATTGTGATTTAAAGCCACACCAGGTAGGAAAGTAGCATGAGACTCTTACTTCCAAGTAACCACCAAAAAACAAGAAGTATGTTGAACTGTGGCTCAAATGATAGAGTGTTAGCTTTGAGCAATAAAGCTTAGAGACACACCCAGGCTCTGAGCCAAGCCCCATGACTGGCACCAAAAACCAAATTAAAAAGGAAAAAAAAATCTAATTTTAACTTCTTGTGACTAGTGAATGAATAAAGAAAATTTTGTGACCAGAAAGTAAACTACCATCCTGTTTTCCAGATATTATCTCAGACTTCTCCTAAAATAGACAATAATCTGATTTCCCATTACTCAAAACAAATTTTATAAAGAAAAATTCAAACTAATCTCTTAATAAGCTCTACTGTTTTAAGTGCTCATCCACTACTATTTAATATTCATTATACATACTTAGACTTATTTACTACTCATCTATCATTTAGTGAAAAAAATCAAATGAGCTACTCCCAAAATGAAACAGTAACTTAATCATTGGTTGACAATCTAGTGTGCACAGAGCACTCTTCATAAAAGTACCAAAAAAGTAATGTATAGCCTAAGAGGCAAAAGGACATTTTTACTATCTAAATATCTATAGTTTTTAATTAAAGGTGAATTTTTATTTCAGTTCTAAAAAGACATGTTTTTGGATAGATAGTTCAAAGTATGGTTTGAAGAATTCTTTCCCATTATGATTTTTCTAAAAGAAAAATCTTAAAATTTTTATTACTTCAGATTCATATGTACTACAAGGTAAAATGAACTAAGCTGACCTACTAACAGCTGACCAAAATAAAAGAGTAGAAAAAATTTGTAATCTAGAAATTAATGCTTTGTTGCAGAATGAGGGTGAGGGAGGAGGAAGATAATACCAGAATAATGAGGAACCTTAGAATAAGGAAAATCTAGTGTACCTAACAAATTCAGTGTGCTTGAAATGCTAAGATACTTTAGAAATGTTTTTAAATAAACTACAGTTACCTAGCACATCTCTACAGATATATTACTGCCATATTAATACTTATCATTTAGGACTTGTTATCTTCAGAGTGTATGGTAAGAAAATCTAATCCCAACTTCAAAATTCAACCTTACACTGAAGTCATTAACAACTTATCATAAGAAACAGTAGAAGCTGGGCACCTATGGCTCATGTCTTTATTCTAGCTACTCAGAAGGCTGAGATCTGAGGATCAAGGTTTGAGACCAGCTTGGGCAGGAAAGTCCATGAGACTCTTATCTCCAATTAACCACCAAAATGCCAGAAGTGAAACTCACTCAAGTGGTAGAGCACTAGCCTTAAGCAAAAACAAGTTCAGGGACACACCCTGAGTTCGAGCCCCCAAAAAAAGAAAAATGGTAGAAAGATTAAAGAAAAATAAACCACCCTACCTCAGAGGTGCAAAATCTAGTTCACTTTGGTGAAATAAGGAATCAGGCCCAAACTCCTGGTCTTGTGTCAAACATGTCAGCAAAGGCAAATCAGGAGTAGCAAAGTCATCATCCTGTATTACTGGAAAGTTTCAAATACAAAAGTACTGACAATTTGAAATGAATTCTTTGGCTTATTTATGAAATACTTTAAAATATCTAAACATGCTATCTGAAAGTATCTACAAACTTTAGAATAATAACAGCATCAGCTACCATTTATCGATCCTGACATTGTCCAAGCACTTAACATACAACATTTTATTGAATATTCATCATAACCTTGAATGATAGGTACTATTATACTTACCTTATAGGTAAAGAAACATGATTAACAAAGTTTAAGAAGTATTAAGTAATTTGCCCATATTTAAATATTTTAAGCATCAGAATGAAATTTTATAAATATTCTCTTTAGTAAATATGAAATTGAGTACTTCTTAACTATTATAAGCATTGTTCCAGCTTGAATAACATAAAAACTTAATATTCATTATATCAAAATAATTCAGGGACTCTTGGGCCCTAATAAATTCTTAAGAAGTAACTAGGATCAAAGTTAGATTCAAAATACTATGAAAAGATCATATGCAGCTAGGCACCACTGGCTCACACCTATAATCCTAGCCACTAAGGAGACTGAGATCTGAGGATCCTGGTCTGAAGTTAGCCTGGGCAGGAACACTTATGAGACTTTTCTCCAATTAACACCCAAAAAAGCCAGAAGTGGAGATAGCTCAAGTGGTAGAGCACTAATCTTGAGCAAAAAAGTCCCAGCCCAAGTGCAAGCTAAGGACAGGCACAAAAAAAAAAAAAAAATCAAAAATCATATGCAACCAAGTGCTAGCAGCTCACACCTGTAATCCTAGCTATTCAGGAGATTAAGATCTGAGGATCAAGCTATTCAGGAGATTAAGATCTGAGTATCAAGGTGAGAAGCCAGATAACTAGCAAGAGAAATTATGCATAGAATACTATGCAATGGTATTATCTTGAATGAATAATTTTTTTAATTGCTCAGCTTTAAAAATCCAAGAGTCCATCACTGTGAAGATTAAAAGGTGTTTGTGACTTTAAAATAAACAAATAAATAAATAATCCAAGAGTTGGAAATCAGGAAGATAGTGGTTAGAGGATAGCCCAGAGAAAATATTTGTGAGATTCCCATCTCAACTAATAACAACAACAAAAAGCTGGGTATAGTGGATGTACCTGTCATCCCAGCTATGTTAGAAGCTTCAACAGGAGCGTCTCCAGGCTAGAGGTGTAGCTCAAGTGGTAGAGAACCTGCCTAGTAAGCACAAACCCCAGTACCATTAGAAACAAAAGCAAAAGCAAAAAATTTATCAGCTTTACCAGCACAACTATGTTTATTGCAGCATTATTTACCATAGCTAAGATATGGAACCAACCCAGATGCCCCTCAGTAGATGAATGGATCAAGAAGATGTGGTATATATACACAATGGAATTCTATGCCTCCATCAGAAAGAATGACATTTCCCCATTTGTTAGGAAATGGAAAGGCTTGGAAAAAATTATATTAAGTGAAGCAAGCCAGGCCCAAAGAAACATAGGTCCCATGGTTTCCCTTATTTGCAATATCTAGTATAGGTATGAGTCAAGCGGAAAGTCAGAGAATGTGATGTTAGGAAAACGAACCCTCAAATATGTATTTTAATGTTTTTGTTTCTTTCATGCATGTGTTTCTAACGCATTTATAAGATTATTTCTTTGTTGCTTTGTATGTCCCTCCCCCACAGTGTAACCCCCGCTTTCATTATATTTGATGTCAGTATAACATGTGGAGGAGACGGGGACAAACAAGTCGTTTAAGGATTCAGATGGACCTGTTGCAACAATGAGAAGTACAAAATGTCATGTCAAAACCAGCTTTACAATGTCGGTGGGGGGGTAGGGGGGTATGATTGGGTGGGGGGGAGGGGGGAGGCTGGGAAGGGAGGTGAAGGGTAAACAAAGGAGGAGGCTGCAATGTTTGGTAAGAAATGTATGCATTATCCTGCCCATGTAATTGTAACCCCTCTGTACAGTATGTTCTCAAATAAAATAAAATAAAATTAAAAAAAAAAATTTATCAGCTTTAAGTTCTAATGTAGGAAATATCAATAATCCAGATAAACAAAATTCTTCAAAGTTGTGTTTAAAATGTGTAAGGGAGACAAGCTTGACTGACTCTTGCCTGAAATCCTAGTTATTCAGGAGACTGAGATCTGATGATCACAGTTGGAAGCCAGCCCAGGTATAAAAGTCTGTAAGACTCTCATCTCCAATTAATCACCAAAAAGCTGGAAGTAGAGCTTCTGGCTCAAGTGGTAGAACATTAGCCTTGAGCACAAAAGCTCAGGGACAGAGCCTGGTGCCAGTGGCTCACACCTATAATCCTAGCTACTCAGGAGGCTGAGATCTGAGGATCACAGTTCAAAGCCAGCCTGGGGAGGAAAAGTCCATGAGACACCTCTCCAATTGACCAGCCCAAAACAAGAAATGGCACTGTGGCTCAAAGTAGTAGAGTGTTAGCCTTGAGCAAAAGAGCTCAAGGACAGTGCCCGGGCTCTGAGTTCAAGCCCCACAACAGATATACATACATACATATATACACACACACACACATACATACATACATACACACACACACACACACACACACACATACACTCCTATCCCATTGCCCTTACATATGTACAAAACAGACATAAAGTCTTTATTCTCTATTCAATCATACAACTATAAAACAATATTAGTGGAAATAAAACTTTATTTGTGGCCAAGTGCTGTTGACTTACAGCTAGGGGCAATCCTAGCCACTGAGAGAAGGTCAAGATCTGAATGGTCATAGTTATAAGCCAGTGCAGGCGGAAAAGAAAAGTCTGCTAAACTCCCTCCCAAAATAACCAGCAAAGAGCAGGAATGGAGACATGTCTCAAATGGTAGAGAGTCAGCAGAGCAAAGAGAGAAAGTATAAGACTCTAAGTTCAAGCCCCAGTACCTCCAGAAAAAAATTTATAAAGAAAACACATTTGAAATTAATTCAACTTTGCAACTATTTTCCTAAAACTAAAATCATTTTTCTCAATACAAATGTAATATTGATTTCTACAATATACTTTCTTGATTTTAGAATGTCTACAACTGCATACAAACTGAGGATTCCATCCTCAAGCCACTGTTCTCCCTGAAATTACTGTCAATGAGTGTTCACAGAGCTCACTATGTTGTCTTCTGCCCTGAGTGTACCAGTACATTCTCACTGCTCTCATTCCCTTCACATTTTCCCAATTCTTCACTGTCATTTGAATCGTCAGTCTGTTTGCTTCTCCCAATCGATGCCTACTTCATTCACAGCGCAATCCCAAGTGAAATATCTGCTATACTTAGTTAGAACTCAGATTTATTTATTTACTGAATTTAATGAGAAATTGAGCTGGACTCATGCTCATAATCCTAGCAGCTCAGGAGGCTGGGACCTGAGAATCATGGTTCAAAGCTGGCGCAGGCAGAAAAGTCATAGACTCTATCTCCAACTAATCAACTCATAGTGAAATCTTTAACCCAGTACTGAAATCCTTCTATCATAGAAATTTGTATTACAATTTTGTTAAGACATTTTGCTGTGGCATAAATTCACTTTACTGTTATATTTCTTCTTATAGACATTTTTCGGGTATCAAATTGATCAACAGCTCAGTTTAAGCTATATGAGCTCATTTTAACTTGAACACTGAGTTAGCAAACACTTTGTAAAGGGTCAGAGAATAGATATTAGGTTTTAAATATTAGGTGGATAAAATACAGACTGTTACACATTACATATCCTTTGTTTTTACAATCTTTTAAAAATGACAATGGTGGAGCACATAGCTCAGTGGCAAAGGATTTGCCTAGCACATATAAGGCCTGGGTCCAATCCCCAGTACTACAACAACAGTAAATAAAAATGTAGCTGGGCATGCTGGAAAATCGAAGCACTGGGAGGCTCAGATACAAGGATCTTGAGTTTAAGGCAAGCCTGGGCTACATAGAAAGTTTCAAGCCAGCCTGAGCTATTATAGATCAAGATCCTGAAGGGGGGAAAAAAAAGTACATTCTTAGCTTAGACAGTATAAAATCAAGCCTTAGTGTGTGGGCTGTAGTTTATAGATTTGCCCTCCAGATCATCATAATACCTCATTCCACTGTATTGTTCTTTTCTGAATAATCTTTTTTACTGAATAACGTGTTTACTGAATAACCTTTCGAAAAGAGAAGGAGGTAGCTTCATCTTTCTGTCCCTAGCATCAAATAAATACAAATTGGGCACTTATGGACACTTACATTTATGAATGAATTAAAAATGGGTTGCTTCCTCTTTAGTATGACAGCCTTGCAAATGTGATTACATCTACCAAACTCCTCCCAAAGGTACTCTTAATTTTGTAAACATTTTTCTCAAAACACAGACATAAAACTGACTTTAATGTCATTAAGAACTGATTGTCAATCCTAGAATGTTAGCACTAAATATGTTGATTTGGACAGCATTGGCATATTTGAAAAGAACTTGCTGAATTCAGTCCTATTCATGCTAATTTACAAAACTCTATAAAACCATTTGAAAGATACTTTAAAGTTTATTTTTGGTAAGAAGCTAATAAATCTGTTTTATACCAAAAAAAGGAAAGTAGTAAGATCTTCTCAGATAAAGCAAGCCACTTAATCTCTTTCTCCTAAATTTTTGGTCTCAAACCTGAAGATAATATATGCCTTAATTCTTAACTCTTCAACTGCACATTTCATACATAACTACACTAGCCGCCCAATGTGAAAAATCAAAAACTAATTCCTTCGAGTACAACTCTATAGAGATCTTCAACTCAAAAAGTCTTAGCCCCCCCAAAAGTGTTTTACAAATGTAAGACGTTGCTACTAGATAAAAATACAGAAGCATTACCTAGCAGTGGAGAGCTCAATTTCTTCACTTGGCCTTCTGATTGGGTCAACACACCTTCTTCCAAAAAGGAAGACTCGGTCACTTTAGATCTTTCTGCTTTCAAATTAATCCTGGTCTGGGATGTATCCAAGTTTTGAGGAGAAGACTTTTTTTCTTGTAGAAGACCATGCCAAGATTCCATTCTCTAAAACATTAATTTTAAAAGAAAATATGCTGTCATTAATTGAGTTAACATATATATTAATAGATTAAAATGTTCACTCATGGCCTAGAGCCAGTGATTCATAGCTATAATTTTAGCTACTAAAGAGGCTGAGATCAGGAGAATCTCAGTTCAAGGACAGTACAGGTAAAATAGTTCTAGAGACCACTTTTTAAACCAATAGCTGGGCACAGTGGTTCATGTCTATCATCTCAAGCTATGTAAGAAGCTGAAATTGAAAGAATCAGGATTCTAAGCCAGCCTAGAGAAAATCTGTAAGAGTCTATCTCCATACAAGGCACTGGTGGCTCACACCTGTAATCCTAACTATTCAGGAGGCTGAGATATGAGGATTGTGGTTCAAAGCCAGCCTAGACAGTAGAGTCTCTGAGATTCTTATCTCCAATTAACCACCAGAAAACCGAAAGTGGTGCTATGGCGCAAGTGGCAGAGCCTTGCCTTGAGCTGAAGAGCTCAGGGACAGCACACACACACACACCCAAAGTTCAAGCCCAATGACAGACAAATAAATAAATAAAGGATAGAGTGTGGCTCAAGTGGTAAAGCACCTGTCTGGCAAGTATAAAGCCAGTGGTCAGATCCCAGAGTACTGGGGGATGAGGAGAGAGACCTAAAACATGTATAGACAAATGCCTCTGTTGTAGAATTAGGAAGCAATCACATCTGTGGCTGGCTATGTCTTGCATGTTTCTTTCCTAAATTTTTTAAACAATATGCAAAAAAAATTTTTTTTGGCAAACCACAGTCATATTCTGGTTAACATCTTACAAACTATGATTTGAGAAGAAGTAAAATCAGCAAAGGACACTGAGAAAGAATAGCTGTAAGAGTAGAAACAAAATCAGAAAAAATCAAGAAAGAAAGTGATTTTAAGAAGTTCTGCAATTATTAATATTACCAAATATTATACATTAAACCTAAGGTTAAAATACAACAATATTTACTATATTCAGCAACACAAATGTAGCTACAAAAATATTTATCATATTCAACTACCCCAGTGTTGCTTTCATAGGTGTAGGGTCAGAACACAAAGTAATCAGTAAGCAGAACCTAACTAGTACAGTAACAGTTGGGGGGGGGGGGAGGGAGGGGAAGAGAGTGAAATATAAGGCAAATATATTTTAAAAAAAAAAAAGAAATATAGCTGATATGAAACATAGAAAGTCCTTAAAATATATAAGAACTTGTAAAACTAGTCATTGAGGTCAGCAAGGTCACAGGCTCCAAGATCAATGTCTACTTCTATAATCATGTACTGAACTACAAAAAAGTAAAAATTTTTACATCAATTAGTCTAACAGAATATGTAAGCCTAGTACAATGAAGATAAAATACTGACAAGCCAGATGCTGATGGGTCACTCTGATAATCCTACCTACTCAAGAGGCTAAGATATGAGGATTGAGGTTTGAAGAATAACCAGGGCAGGCAAATCCAAGCTCTAATTCACCAGCAAAAAGCCAGAGGAAGAGGTGTAGCTCAGTGGAGTGCCAGCCTTGAGCAGAAAAACTAAGCAAGATCTCAAGGCCCTGAGTTCAAGCCCCTGTACATCTAAATAGTTTAGTGAGTCATTAATATTGTTAAGATGTCAATTCACTCCAAATTGATTTATGTAACCAATAAAACCTTAATCAAAATTGCAGCAGGCTCTTTAAATAGGAATTGACAAATTAATACTAAAATCTGTAAATTTCGAGAATCTAGCATTAAAAGTCTGTTGTTGTTTTTTTCTAAAAAAGGATATGGAAAACTTACTATTTGATTTTAGAACAGTACAATAATTAGGAGAATGACACTAGCATAAAGATAAATCAGTGGAACACAGAGAGGAGAAATAGGCCCATGTATATAAGGTTAGTGTATTTTTAACAAGATGTTAAGAAACCCACCAAAGAAAAAAATACCTCATAGTGCTAGACTAACACATAGATATTAAGAAAATATAGTTAAAACCAGGTACTGAGCTGGGCGCCGGTGGCTCATGCCTGTAATCCTAGCTACAGAGGAGCAGAGATCTGAAGATCACGGTTAAAGCCAGCCCAGGCAGAAAAGTCCATGAGACTCTTATCTCCAATTAACCACTAGAAAACCGGAAGTGGTGCTGTGGCTCAAGGGGTAGAGCACTTGCTTTGAGCTGAAGAGCTGAGGGACAGCACCCAGGCCCAGAGTTCAAGCCCCACAACTGCCAAAAACAAAAAACAGGTACTGGTGGCTTAATCCTAGCTACTCAGGAGACTGAGATTTGAGGATCACAGTTCAAAGCTAACCTGAGCAAAAAGTGTCTGTGAGACTCTTCCTCAAAAAAAAAAAAAAAAAAGCTGGATGCAGAACTGTGGCTTAAGTGGTAAAATGCTAGCTCTGGGCACAAAAGCTCAGGAACAGCACTGACAGACTAAGAGACACACAGACACACAGCCACACACACACACCAAAAACAAAAACAAAAACCCAGAACAACAATGAATACACAGATCTGCTTATATACATTCTTTGATATATATGTTACATATTATAGTATGTTATACTATATATCATCAACTCATTAGACAGATTATCAACTCATAGATAGTGACTCATACCTGTAATTACAACTATTTGGGAGTCAGAGAAAAGAAAAACTGAGATTTAAGGCCAGCCTACGCAAACTGACAGCAAGATTGCATCTCAACCAAGAAGCTGTACATTGGTGCATACCTGCCATCCCAACTACTCAAAAAACTTATGAGGAGCGGGGTGCCAGTGGCTCATGCCTGTAATCCCTAGCTACTCAGGAGGCTGAGGTCTGAGGATCATGGTTCAAAGCCAGCCCAGGTAGGAAAGTTCCTGAGAAGAGTCTCCAATTAACCACTAGAAAACCAGAAGTGGTAGAGTGTTCGCCTTGAGCTGAAGAGCTCAGGGATAGTGCGCCTAGGTTCAGAGTTCAAGACTCATGACCAACCAAAAAAAAAAACATAGGTAGAGAGTGCTCCAGGGCTAAAAGATGACTTCCTAAGTGAAAAATAGGAAATAACAAAAATAGACATTTGGCTCTAAAAGGTATGGCATGTATAAAGCAAGAAGTGCTGAGTTCAAACCCCAATACCACCAAAAAGTTCACTTGACAAAGTATACACTTAAAAGAAAGAATATGTCTATATTTGATTTAGACATCAATAAAGTTGACTTTGAAAATGTGAGAGAAAGATAAAGGAACACAGAAAATATTAATATATTTTTCACATACTCATAGCAAACTTCTTGTGCTGCTAATCAAAAAACAAAAATAGTTTACCAGTTGATCTACAAACGTACCTGATCATCCTCAGAACTCCACTGGCTTGTTGTTTCCAATGAGACAAAACTGGTATCAGAAATTTGTGTTCTAACATTGCCTTGATATAATGGCTGTTGCCATATATTACAGGTCAGTGGAACAATCTGCAAACCAAAAGCAAACATAAACAGACTAGTAACACTTAGTACTAAAGAAAGAAAGAAATTAAAAATCAGAACAATTAAGTAATGACAGATGTCACATAGGTTCTCTAAGGTATATAAACCAACTCTCATATAGGTTTAGGGCTAAAATTTATACCTCTTCTGTATAATGTCCCAACCTACAAAAGCAAATTCAATTTCAGAAGCAAAGCAGGTAAGGAAAAAAAGCACAGAAAAACAATATAAAAAAGACAAAATAAGATGGATGAAATTGCTTATCTGCAATAATGGTATATAAATGTACTAATTCATTTGTTTAAAGAAGCCACAGTTTAAGTATAGTGTTATTTGTAAACTTACATTATTTAGAACAAATATAACTAAGTCATAAAAAGACCAAAATTTAAAAAAAAAGTATAGAAAACAGTATGGTTAGAGTCAAGCTACACTGGCTCTTATCTATTATTCTAGCTATTTTGGGAGCTGATATCAGAAAAATCATGGTTCAAGGCCCAGCCAGGAAGAAAATTTCACAAGATCCTTCTCAATCATACCTGGATGCAGTAGCACACACCTGTTATCCTAGATACCTAGGAGACTGAGATCAGAAGGATCACGTTCCTGGTAAGCACAGTCCAAGATACTCGGTTCTCAACGGAAGATGGCCATGGTTGCACCTGTTATGCCAGCTTACATAGGAAGCCTGCAAGAGGCAGACTGTGGTCCAGATGCACATGTAAAAATAAAAGCTCTATCTCAAAAATAATCAGCACAGGGAAAATTGGGTGACCACATGCAGAAAACTAAAAGTGGACCCTAGCCTGCCACCATGCACTAACATCAACTCAAAATGGATTAAAGATCTTAACATCAAACCTGACACTCTGAAAGTACTTCAGGACAGAGTAGGAGAGACACTTTAACTTATAGGGACAGGTATGAACTTCCTGAACAGAGTCCCAGGGTCACAACAAATTGGAGAGAGACTCAATAAATGGGACTATCTTAAAATAATAAAGTTCTGCACAGCTAAAGAAAGAGCAACCAAACTAGAAAGACAGCCAACTAATTGGGAAAAAATATTTACAGCAATATATCAGACAAGAGCCTAATATCCATTAAATACAGGGAACTCAAGAAACTAACCCCTCCCAAATCTAACAAACCAATCATGAAATGGGCAAAGGAGCTAAAGAGAGACTTCTCAGAAGATAAAAATGGCAAAGAAACACATGAGAAAATGTTCATCATCCCTGGCTCCAAAGATACCACCTTACCCCAGTCAGAGCGGCCCACATCCTAAATTCAGCCAACAATTATTGCTGGTAGGAATGTACACTAATACAACCACTTTGGAAAGCAGTCTGGAGGTACTTCAGAAAGCTAAATATAGACCTCCCTTACAACCCAGCCATACCACTCCTAGGCATCTACCCTGAGCAACAGGAACCAAGATACAAGGACACATGTACCTCCATGTTCATTGCAGCACTGTTCACAAAAGCCAATATATGGTAACAACCCAGATGCCCCACTACAGATGAGTGGATCCAAAATTTGTGGGACCTATATACCATGAAATATTATGAAGCCATAAGAAAGGACAAAATAATGGCATTTACAGGGAAATGGATGGAACTAAAAAAAATCATTTTGAGCATGGTAAGCCAAGAGCAAAGAGGCAAATGGCACATGGTCTTCCTAATAAGTGGATGCTAAAGTCAAAATGCAAGAAGATATGACAAAGTAAACAGGACTCGAGAAACAAAGGACTTCCACTCATTTTGTCATATCATTGCTAAATGACTCCATGTTCTTGACCACATATATGGTATATGTGTGCACGCATCTGAGGGAAGGCAGGAGGTCACAGAATCAGAGGGAAATGGGAAAACATAAAACAGAGAGACCTATCAGCTGCACTGGACATAGATGAAAATGAACTAAGCAACTCAAAGGCAGCGATGAGAGGGAGGGAATGAGAGGGAAAGAGGGAACAGCTTACACTAAGCAAAAGAAAAGAAATGTATCACTTGATGTAGAAGAAATAGCTGTATTGTCAAAGCTCATTGAATTCACAAACTTTAGGGGCTGGGAAGGTGGCTCAGTGGTAGAGCACTTGCCTTGCATGCCTGAGGCTCTGGGTTCGATTCCCCAGCACCACATAAGCAAAAAGAAAAAAGCCAGAAGTGGTGCTATGGCTCAAGTGGTAGAGCACTAGCCTTGAGCTAAAGAGCTGACGGACAGTGCCCAGGCCCAGAGTTCAGGCCCCATGACCAGACCCAAAAAAAAAGAATTCACAAACTTTATAGACCATGATAAAGACAATTTGCCTCATAAAGGTTAAAATGTGTTTGTGACTTTAACTAAGTAACACTATTCCATAATACTGTGAAATATGTGAAAATTATATAATCACCTCATCTCAATAAAAAATTTTTAAAAATAATCAGTACAAAAAAAGGCCTAGAGCCACAGCTTAGTACTACAGTGCCTGCTTAACAAGCATGAGTCCCTGAAAGAAAAAAAACAGTAGCATCAAAATAATAAAAATATTGTTGGAGCCAGATGAAAATATTATGTATAGAAGTAAATCATAATGTTGAGATAATAGAAACTCAAAAAAAAAACAAACATCATGTTTTTGGTCATATGCAAAATTTAGATTTAGATTTAAATAATGGAACATGAGTATAAAAGGGACCTATCTGGCAGAGGGAACCAGAAAGATGGAAGAAAGGGAAAGAGAAGGTACTGGAAGAATAAACATGACCCAAGTAGAGAGACAGAGAGAAAGAGACAGAGAGAGGGACAGAGAGAGAGAGAGAGAGAGAGAGAGTTTAAAATGATAGCATAATGAAACTCTCTAGATACTGTTAGAAAATGCATTGTACTTTGATAATGAATTGAAAATATATTGTACACATCTATGGAAATCAAGTACACACTGATCAAAGACACTGCATTCACTTATGGAAATATCACAATGAAATCTCTTTCCTCATCTGTATAACTAATATAAGCTAGAAAAAAACTGCTAAAAAAAAAAAAAAAAGAACAACAATAACAAGAGGAGGAGGAGGAAGAGGAAAAAATTCCTTTATAGAATTAATCTTTGCTAATAACACTAAGAGGAAACTTTTTAAGTATACAAAATAGTATGTCATAAAAATATTAAAATAAGGTGGGTGCCAGTGGCTCACACCTGTAATCCTAGCTATTCAGAAGGCTGAGATCTGAGGATCATGATTCAAAGCCAGCCCAGCCACGAAAGTTCATGAGACTCTTACCTCCAAAAAAAGCTGGCAGTAACACTGTGACTCAATAGCAAAAGCAGCTCAGGAGCAGTGCTAAACCCAGAGTTTAAGCCCAAGACCAGAAAAAAAAAAATTAAAATACTGTATTAAATCTACCAACCTCCCCATCCATTCTTGACTCAAAACTACCTACTAAGGTTTTGAAAAATCCCTCCCTACCTGGAGGGAATCTGCACTATTTAACCCAATGCTATTTTCATGGCACACCCCAAGTACTAACCTTGGAGTATTCTCAGAAAAACCTCACCCCCAGCCCTGGATGAAAGTGCCCAAAGCCCTGGGCAGGCCCTTTAGCAGCAACTACCTGATCACAACCTGCAACTGGAGACATACACATACCCTTTCCACTCCATTGTATCTCCAAGTCTGTTCTGCTACTTGGTGCCCCTCTTCACAACTGATAAAAAGTCTGATCTGATCTATTGAGATCTGTCCCCTTTCCTTTCATCACTTGATCTTTCGTAACAATACCTACCTTTCTTCCTTTTTCTCTTCCTTTGTCTCTATGTCTCTTCTGTACCATGTTAATGCTATTTTAGGGTTTCTTACCACTGCACTATTGATATGTGGGAAGATTTTATGGGAGGTTGTCCTGTACATTGTAAAATGCAACAGCATCTGTGTACTGATAAAATGGCCCCAGAAATGACAATGAAAAAATATCACCACTGCCAAATATCTCATGGGCATCAAAATGGCTAGAGGTGAGATGACTATATGGTATAAAACTGAGGAGAAAAAAAAAACTAGGACTGAAAGATAACTAGATTGGGGCTGGGAAGGTGGTTCAGTGGTAGAGTGCTCACCTCACATGTAGGAGCCCTGGGCTCGATTCTTCAACACTACATAAACAGAAAAAGCCGGAAGTGGCACTGTGGCTCAAGTGGTAGAGCACTAGCCTTGAACTGAAGAGTTGAGGGACAGCATCCAGGCCCAGAGTTCAAGCCTCACAACTGACAAAGAAAGAAAGAAAGAAAGAAAGAAAGAAAGAAAGAAAGAAAGAAAGAAAGAAAGAAAGAAAGAAAGAAAGAAAGAAAGAAAGAAAGAAAGAAAGAAAGAAAGAAAGAAAGAAAGAAAGAAAGAAAGAAAGAAAGAAAGAAAGGAGAAAGAAGAAAGAAAGAAAGAGAAAGAAGAAAGAAAGAAAAAGAAAGAGAAGGAAGGAAGAAAGAAAGAAAGAAAGAAAAAAAAAAGATAGCTAGATAGCTACACCCAGGTGCTCATGCCTATATTCCTAGCTACTCAGGAGGCTGAGATCTGAGGATCCTGATTCAAAGATAGCCCAGGCAAGAAAGGGCAAGAAAGTCCATGAGACTCTTATCTCCAATAAACTACTCAGAAAAGGTCAGAAGTAGTACTGTGGCTCAAGTGGTAGACTGGTATCCCTGAGTACAAACTGGCTCAGGGACAGTGTCCAGGCCCTTATTTCAAGCCCTGGCTTAAAAAAATAAAAAAAGATAGCTATGTTATAATAAAATTGTCAGTTCACCTAGAAGATATAGCAATTTGAAATTTGCTTATACCTAACTTTAAATATTGAAACTATCTTATTAAGATCAAAGTGAGAAATTGAGAAATTTTTAAAGATCTTTCTAACAGACAGAAAAAAATTATGACTGTAAGAACAATCTTGATCTCTTCATCTTTATATAAAATTTGGCAGAAGATTCTTCTCCAAACAAAAAA